ACTCTGTAAGGTCAACATTCAGGGCTCCATCAAAGCGAAGAGAAGCCGTGATGGAAGACACAATCTGGCCAATGAGCCTGTTCAGGTTAGTGTAAGTGGGCCTCTCAATGTCCAGGTTCCTGCGACAGATGTCGTAGATGGCCTCATTGTCCACCATGAAGGCACAGTCAGAGTGCTCCAGGGTGGTGTGGGTTGTCAGGATGGAGTTGTAAGGCTCCACTACAGCTGTGGAAACCTGGGGGGCTGGGTAGATGGCAAATTCAAGCTTAGACTTTTGCCATAATCACAGAGAGTCTCTCCATCAACAGAGAGGTGAAACCCGAGCCGGTTCCCCCACCAAAGGAGTGGAAGATGAGAAATCCCTGCAGGCCAGTGCACTGGTCGGCCTGAAAATGAATTTACATATGATTTAGTCTGAAACAAAAACAACACGGTTATTACAAGAAACATTTTCTCTCACACATGCGCACCAGTTTGCGAGTCCTGTCCAGAACCAGATCAATAATCTCCTTGCCAATTGTGTAGTGTCCACGGGCGTAGTTATTGGCTGCATCCTCCTTTCCTGTAATCAGCTGTTCAGGGTGGAACAGCTGACGATAAGTTCCTGTGCGTACCTCATCTGGAGAATTAAACAAAGATATTGATCATTTGATGAATGATCCAAAAGGGTCACTATTATCTTGTTTTAATAAGGATTTTACAATGGCAAAGGATAAGGGATTTCTTGCTGTCATAGTGCTTAACTTCCATTCATATTTCATGTGTGTAACATTGTAAAGAAAGGAAGGTGATGTTGCAGTGGTAGTTTTTTTAATTGTAAGATAATCTTTTATTAAATTGTTTTTTTTAATTAAATGTTTGTGATCTAATGTTACATACAGCTTTGTTTAAAAAAAAACTACATCATGCATACAAATACCCAATGTATGTAAAATATTATGAGCTTCATAACAGGCACTGACCAATTACAGTAGGTTCCAGGTCGACAAAGATGGCTCTGGGAACGTGCTTCCCTGCCCCTGTTTCGCTAAAGAAGGTGCTGAAGGAGTCATCTCCTCTTCCGACCGTCTTTTCAGTGGGCATATGTCCATCTGGTTGGATCCCATGTTCCAGACAATACAGCTCCCAACATGCATTGCCAATTTGAGCCCCAGCTTGGCCCACATGGATGGAGATACATTCACGCTGCAAAGAATAAGCAATCTCCATTGTGTCTACTTCCAGTATTTCTCCTACACAGAATTCTTACTGAAAACCTAGACTGTCTGACGTAGACTTAAAATACAATATCTCACTGTGATTCTAAAATGAACTTAATTCAAACACATTATCTATCTCACAATTTATTTTGGAATTCTGTTAACTTACAGTAAATTTGTCACTAGCAAAACAAAATCTTACCATAATTTATCTCTTCTCCAACAGTCAGGTATCAGAAAGAAGATGTAGTGCTGGAGACAGCTGTGTTGCTCTGCTTTTTTATAGGCAACCTGCAGCTTAAGGTGAACAGTGATTTGATCTGAGCTGTAATGGGAGAACCTTCTGATGAAGCCAGGATAAGATCACCTGTTTGACAGAAGAACGCACAATGCCAAAGGAGGTCACCACCCTATTCATTGTGTGAGAGCATTGCAAGGGGTGTGTGTGTGAACCTCCTGCATCAAAAAAAAAAAACGATAGGCAGATGAAAGGAAGGAAACATAATGTAGTTTCACATGGCTTTTAGTAATGCATGACTTTATCATGAAGCTTATGACATGAAGAAAAACTGATTTCACTGAGGTTGTAAGTTACAACATGTAACTATTATGAAAATAAATGAATGTTTCTTTATAAAAACACTTTGAAAAATTGGAGCATTGTGTAAATGGTGAATGGAGTTGAGCTTGTGTAGCACTTATTTAGTCTTCTAGCTACTGAAGACACTTTTACACTGCAGATCGCCCATTCACACACTGACGGCAGAGGTTGCTAAGTAAAGTGACCATCAAACGTAACTAATTTAATTCATACACATTCTTACGCCCCCAATGAAGTAGCCGGAGCAATTTGGGGTAAGTGTCTTGCCCAATGACACATTGGACATGTGGCTGCAGGGGTTGGGGATCGAACCCCTGACCTTCCAGTTGAGGGATGACCGACTCTACCACTGGTCCACAGCCGCCCCCCAAACAAAACACTTCACTTTCATTTATTCTATAAATGTTTTATTTTAACACTGACTTGAATATGTAAATTGTGACAAGTGAACTACTGATAAATAGATGGTAAAATATGATTTTGAACATTTTGAATTGGCCATCAACTTTTTTGTGTGTGCTTGTGCTTACATTACATCTCAGCAAAAACAGTGATCATTATTACATCTATGATTTCCTTTCTTAGAAAGAAAAATATTTGTGAATGTATTCCCATAACATGCATGCCCAATATGGAGTCATAACATCTTAACACAGAACAGTTAACTTCCTTAAGTGAGCACATTTAATAAAATCAACTACATTGTTCAGTCACCCCTCTCCTACACTTTTTATTCTTGAGTTAAAATGAACAATCAATGTTTCTAAAGCAGCACTATATGTGAAACCTGTCTACTGTGCTCCTCAGCCCCATGGGAGAGTAGAGAAACAGAATCCATGGGAACCGCCTCACCAGGAATCAGCTGACTGAAGTAAATAGAAAAAAAGCCTGCCAGGGTGGTTTCATGATATGCACCATAAAAGTCAACCACAGAGACAGTGTTTAAATAAGGGACAAAAGGCACAACATTAATTGTTTTTGTCCTCTTTATAAAAGTTCTACGCCCAGACAGCTATTCATATCTAACAGGTTGTATAGTTTAATGTTTCTCAATTCTCAAAGTGAGTTTCAGTGTGGTGGTAGTAGAGCAGCTGCCTGTTTCAGTTGGCAGGGATAACCCATGCTGATGATACAGTACTGTGGCCCAAAGGCAAAACACTCTGTGGTATTAGAAACTAGTTAAACCACTTTTAAGAACAGCTGCAGGCATCCTGGCCTTTTTGAAATTGTTGATTTAGTGTAATCCATCTGTTTGAGGTTAAACCACTTTTCAAATGATGGTGCCTTCATTTTCAAATGTCATGTAGCCTTTCTCTGATCTAACTACATGCAAAGCCCCAACCCACCCAACACACACACAAAACAGAGAATAGTTGAAGTGAAAGAAAAATTAACTAACTCAACACTTACAAACTGTCACTCTTACTAATGCTATAGGTATGTTTTCTGGCAGCACACTTGAGATACTGCAACGTCTACTGCTCCACTCTTCATTTTAAGGTCAGCTTCTCTCCTGAGGCTGTGAGATTTAATATTACCAAATATGATCAATGGTGTTGCTTTCACATCGTATTAACACAAAGCACACAAAGAACTATTGAGTGAATGGAAGTCAATGTTATGGCACTTTTTTTTCGTTTCATATTGTTGCTTTTGACTTGTGTTTTCTTATGTCATGGAGAAGACACTGGATGTTTATAAAATTGAGGATGTGAACATATTTCTACCACATTTTGGTCTGGTTCATTTTTGATGTCGGCTACTGTACTACTGTAAAATGTCACAGGGAAAGCCTCCCCCTTGTCTTCTTCTATGTGCTCTGTCTGCCCTCAAAGGTCTTTATTCACAAAGCTTTGTCCCACTTCTATAGGTCCCCAAGGCAAAACTTAACGTACCTGTTCAGGTAACGAAAAAGGGAAAAGGGCACAAAACTGAACAAAAGAGAGATAAAGAGATAGTTTGCACCTTTGAGAGTTAATATGAGATATGTATGGGATTTAAACTCTTTATATTCCATGCCTTTGGGTAACAAATAAAAGTCAGGTTTACACAGGAAGAAAAGTAGGCTAATTGAAGTGTGACATGAACATTTTTTGCAAGACTTTATTAGTGGTGAAAAATAAAGCTACTTTTGCTATGGACTCTTTGTATGTTTGACTCATTCAGTGGATCATGGTGTGGCAACAGCGACCTCTAGCTTTCAAATGGCGTCAATGCAGATGTTATGCAGAGAAATGCATGTACCTTACAGGACAATGCAAATTGCAGACACAATATCTACACTGCGGAATGTTGCATGTAGGCCACTCTCAAAATACTATGCTGCCTTATTTTGCATTCACCCTTAAATTTACTCGATAGTCACTTCAGAGTCAAACACTGTTTGCAGGTCATATTTACGCATACTAATGAAAATGCGTCTTCAATTGAGTCTTTCTTGACATACTACCAGGCCAGTAAAATTGCAGTCTGGATTAGATTACTGTTATTGATTGGCTTTGAAGCATGTCGAACCCGTTTACAACATCAGTGACTGCAAGTGTGACTACTGGTAACACGACCAAATTAAATTGCCATGTTTAGACTTTCAATGTACAAAATAGATGTCATTTTTAGATATTAAAAAAAGCCAATAAAAAAGGCAATTGAGTAAAATATTAGTTTAAAATAGCATGAATAGCAATAAACCATGAATAACAACTTACAAAAAAAAATTCTAAATTAAAGAAAATGTTAAGGATCATTTAGACCTGTGGTTTCACTACTTGTATCTAAGGAAAGCGGTGAGGTGTTTGTATTTAATATGTGTGCGAATCTAAATAATCTATTTCATCAACAGCCTCAGAGCAGACAGAGCCTCGCGCCCTTTTCTTGAAACCATATGTTGTACTTCCTGGTACACTCCCTCTTTCGGCTACGTCGACCGTTGTTTCTCAATGGCTGTCCCAAAAATGAGTTGTCTTTAAGGTGTCTTTTTTACAAGTCTCTTTTATTCGTCTTTATCTTTGGCAGAAACGTAACTGCTCTAGAGCCACACCTGCTCATTTTGCCATAACAAAGTAGCCTCTGAAAGATAATAATGACTAACATTATAGCCTACAACAATATCATGCAATAAAGTGGCTTGCGCATTCACGGAGCGCGTCCGCGTCAGAGTCCGGTGGGCGTGGCCTGCAGTTGAGTATAGCGTGACAGCTCCTCGCCCACCTGACATTACTTACTCACTCGGACCACATTGACGGCGGCTGTGAGAAGCTACTGACTGACAACTTCAAATCCAACTTAAAAACCTGCTTTTCCTTCCAAGGACATTTTCTACTAAGACGCGACAATGGTGAGATTGTTTTGTTTTTTTTCCCAAAGTTTCAGTTGGAGCGAACTCTCTATTCAAACATTTCCTGTAATGTGTCCTCTTTATCTGAGTGTAGCCTGCGTTTCCTCTGAAGTGTCAATTCTACGTCTTTTGTCAGTGAATATTGATTGTTTGAAAGTGTCAGAAAAACATGTCAGATTGAAGTTGCGACTGCTCCCTGTGCGCTCCTGCAGCAGCGCTCATATATCAGAAATAGACTCACAGACTGGCAGTAAAGCTGAGCTGGCTGCTGGCCTGGAAGAGCAGGTGCTGATGATTAGTCTAGGTTTTCAGCACATCAGGGGAAAACCAACACATCTGACTAAATACACGATAAAGCTCTTTGTGATTCTGAAACTGCAGTTCAGACAGATATCTCTAAATCCCTACTCAAGGTTGTGGAATATAACCATACTGTAGTAGGTCCCAGTAAGGAATTAAGGCGTGTCTCGTAAAAGAAAAAGAAAAAAAAGAAAAAAACTAACAACATGTCAGCACAGATTGAGGCCAATTTGTGCGGGCGGGAGCTTCCCCCTCCAAATTCAAACAGCTATGAGTACGTTGTAAAAGTGACTGATATGTCTCAGACTGGGCTGACCAACAAAGCAGGAAGTTGTTTGCTTACAGTAGAAAGTAAAGTCACGTGCTCTCCATAGTGAAATCGGACTAGAAGTTTATCCCTGCAACATGAAGTTGATTGTTAAAACTGTGTGTTAAAGACTTATGATCCAGGGGCAGGAACTATCCCCCAAACGTATCTTTGTACTGTTTGCTTAGTAGTATAAACACGGCTTGTTTAACAGTACTGTTTATGCAGACCAAACGGTATCATTGTGTATGCAGTATACCCGCCCTGATCAAACAGTTCTGATCACTCCCTTTTAGTTCCTATATTGTTAGTGTTGCATAACATAAAGCATCAGACAGACAACTGTTACTCAGCTTCTTGTTCAAGGACCTAACATTATCACCGGGGGTTAAACTATAACAGATGACAGGATCATAATTCACAAGGCACCTCCACTCCCAGGAAGGTATTTCTTTTTAATTGGCATAATCCAGGCTTGGAGCACAATGGGGTTGCATGTCCCGCTCAATTAAAGAGTGTCACATCCGGATACGTCATCATGATGGATTTGAATTAGAAGAGAGGCTTTACAGAGAGCATTAATTTGGTCAAGAAGTAACACGTCGGCCAACCGGTTACTTTAAAATTGCGTATGAAGGCAGGTGGAGTGCTGTTCTGCCTCGCCTATTTGCCCATGGCCCTTTTTGTTGGACTTCTTCAGTCTTAGCTACACTGACCTCTTGTCTTAAACATTTAAAAAAACGGCTCTCCTGAATTGAGACAAATAGAACAGTCAGCCAGTAGGGGCTTATCAAGTTGGCCCACATCAGTTGAGTTGGTATGGGTGATCACCACAGGAAAGGTTATTTATTAGGATCAATAATGTTCATGTTTGAACAGGAATATCCTCAACAAATGGTATGGCACCCTGGGATTTAGCCTTCAGCATTAAAGTAATACCTTGATTTAGGTGCCTCATTCCATAGTATTCGTCTTTTTTTTATACTTTAAGTTTAAGAACACAGCAGGGTGAAGACCATGTGTGAGCTTCAGTGTACGAGTAGGATTTCAGCCAAAGTATATTTAGCTACATACATGACAAGGCATGGACACTGTCCCATGAAATCATGATCTATCCTCATCTTGTGTTTATGGTAAATTAAGTCTTTAAAATATGCGGCGTGCAATGTGTAGATCTTTCTCTTTCTGGTTCACTTTAAATCTCTCCGTCTCACTCTGTCTTAGATAAGCTGTCTTTTTATTTTTTTGAGACGTTGACAAAACTGGATTCTCAAGTCTGTTTTGGTGAAATTCTACATGACGTCTGTTTTTGTCATCCGGACACACCCTGACAGGTTCTTGAGACAACAAGAGTTTGGCATTTGACAGTGCTCCGTCTCAACTACTGGTTATTTACTCATAAAGGAATGAAGAGCAATATCCCAACATTCAAGTCACAACAACAACAGAAAAACAAATGTTGCCTTTAACATAAATTGTTTCAAAATATTCACAAATGATCGTGCTGCTTATTTCCGAAAGCTTTGAGCCTATCAGGTATAAATTCAACTCAGCAATGACCACTATTTTGGAGCCTGCCAGTCAGTGTTTACTGAAACAGCCAGCCTCTGCTGCCTGGTGTCAGGTTAGTTTTAGGAACCTTAAAATAGCTGCTGCACAGAGCTCTGCTAACCTGGAAACCCACGGTCACCTCTGCTTTGCATAGATTCTGGTGGTGCATGAGGGAAAGCTAAAAATATTTTTTTGACCTACATAGATAAAGAGAAAGTAAAAAAAAAAAAAACTATGTCCAGCTAGGCTGCCCCGCCCCCATTTCTCAGCTACCATTACCTACTGTCTGTCTTATCATTTAAGAAGGGGAAAGGTGGGGGAAGGATATATTTATATAACTATAACAGCCTGCCATGTAGCCAGAAAGGATTTAAAGTATGTCAAAGGTTTTCACTGCGGTATGAAGTTAAATCAAGTAGTACAAGATTTTTTGTACTATTATTTGAGTTCAACATCCATAAAGATTCTTCTCCTACATTCAAAAGAAAAAATGTTCCCTGTATCAAATTAAGGAAATGTGAAAACAGAAAATAAAAAAATAGATTCTGCTTGCTTAAAATTCAATTTTAAGTTTATCAGTAAACAACATTAAGACTCATTTCAGGGTCTAATGACTGTTTGGTGATAAGCTAATGAATGTTTGATCTAGAAGAGGACAGTGATGGATTCATTCTCCTGTACTGTACAGTATATAATTTTACATCATGACTCCGGAAAGCCCATTAAAAACGGATGAAGGAATATACTAATCAGTCAGGAATGTATGCCTCCTGGCTAATGCCATTCCGGACAAAAGTTTCTTTGATTCAAAATCTGTCAAATCCAGCATAGCGATTTAAAAACAATGTTTTAATGATTAGCTTTGTTTTCTGCATGATCCAATGATAGCAGACATGTAGGGTTACATACTTTAGTAAAAGAAGAATATCTGAGGGTTGATAAATATTTATGAACACTCACATTGCCCCAACTTGTTTTTTAGCCTCAGGCAGTTCCAAGTACATCTGTTGTGCTCAACTAAGTACAAGGAAAATTTAATTGACTTTAATTGTAATCTCTGTTTTTTTCCACCCACATGAAAATATTCTTATATATATTATAGATGATCAGACTTGAGCAGATAGTCTTCTTAGATATAGAGACATCATCAGAAACAATACAACTAAGTATTACAATTGTTGAATATCCCAAATCTTTTTCTTGAGTAATGTTATCCTCCTGCGCATACAAACTGTTTTGAATAGGCAAACAATTATGAAAATCTAATACTGAAGGGAGAGGCCCATGTTTATACCACAATACATGTAAATCTTGCATCTAATATCGAGTGCAATGTTGAATTATGTAAAATTCATATAATTTTTCCAAATAAACCAATAATATTTACAGTTCAGGTAAAGTAGGGGTCTTTGTTATAGTCGTAGTTTCTTTTATAATTTGGGTGAGCTTAGCAGGAAAAGGGTTAAGTGCCTAGTCGTTCTGTTCCCAGCTTGAACTCCATTTCAGGTCGGGAGCCTTGCTCAAACAGTCACGAGATCTACTGACCTCAAATACCTCAAATAACTCTTTCGTCAACCTTTGAGAGGAGTTTGTAAAATGTGCATTTGAATTCTTTGAAGTGCAGTTTTTGTGTAAAATGTGATCAAAATCAAGAACAACATGCCGCTGATTAGAATATTCAGTCCTTCCTTAGTCCCTGTTTCACCACTTTATCCTTCCTCCCTGTGCTTGAATCTTTTTCCTGCCCCCTTTTTAAACTTTCTTTCCCCCCCTTCTCTTCCAGCGTGAATGTATCTCAGTCCACGTCGGCCAGGCTGGTGTCCAGATGGGGAACACCTGCTGGGAGCTTTACTGTCTGGAACACGGCATCCAGCCGGATGGTCACATGCCCGCCCTCAAGACTACAGAAACCAAGGATGACTCCTTCACCACCTTCTTCAGTGAGACTGGGGCTGGAAAATATGTCCCCCGGGCCATCTTCGTTGACCTGGAACCCACTGTCATCGGTCAGTAGTTGAATGGGCTTGTTATGTTAAATGCGTCAGGCACTATCCATTTCAAAAGAAACGTATTGCCAATGCAAGATAAAGATTGAATGTGAAAATGTATAGAAGCTACATATAGAAGCTTGTTGGAACATGTTCCAACAAGCTGTGACTAGCCTCAAAAATATTTAAGTTATATTGCCCAGTGTTTTGAGAATGTTTGTGTTCTGCTTATTTTACCTTTTCATACCATTTACCAACCATACTTGTTGACCAAAGTTCTTTACATTACAATGTGCTTGTAATCTGAAGAGAAATAGAATTAGAATTGTGTCTGGGCTTGGTAGCACAAAATAGTTTGGCTGGGCCATCTTTCATTTGTATTACTACAAAGTTGATAGTCAACTTTGGAATTCCTTCAGTAAAATAATTTGTCATTGTCGCTTTCATTCTCTAGATGAGGTACGCACAGGAACGTACCGCCAACTCTTTCACCCTGAACAGCTGATCTCGGGAAAAGAAGATGCAGCCAACAACTATGCCCGTGGACACTACACCATCGGCAAGGAGATCATTGACTCTGTCCTGGATAGAATCCGCAAACTGGTAAGACTACAGGAGGTAGTCAGTTTTTGCAAGTTTATTAAGCAGGGCTCCATGCAGTTAGCCTGATATTTTCCTGAAACCTTGATCTATATACTTGCACAGACTTGAACTCAGACCTCATACTACATTACATCTGACTTCTTTTCTTGTTTCTATAGGCCGATCAATGCACTGGCCTGCAGGGATTCCTTGTCTTCCACTCCTTTGGTGGGGGAACTGGCTCAGGTTTCACTTCCCTGTTGATGGAGAGACTCTCTGTTGATTTTGGGAAGAAGTCTAAGCTTGAATTTGCCATCTACCCAGCCCCCCAGGTTTCCACAGCCGTGGTGGAGCCTTACAACTCCATCCTGACAACCCACACCACTTTGGAGCATTCCGACTGTGCCTTCATGGTGGACAATGAGGCCATCTATGACATCTGCCGCAGAAACCTTGACATTGAACGCCCATCGTACACTAACCTGAACCGCCTCATCAGCCAGATTGTGTCTTCCATCACGGCTTCTCTTCGCTTTGATGGAGCCCTGAATGTTGACCTTACAGAGTTCCAGACCAACTTGGTGCCCTACCCTCGTATCCACTTCCCTCTGGCCACCTACGCCCCGGTCATCTCCGCAGAGAAAGCCTACCATGAGCAACTGTCTGTTGCTGAGATCACAAACGCCTGCTTTGAGCCGGCCAATCAGATGGTGAAGTGTGATCCTCGTCATGGTAAATACATGGCCTGCTGTCTGCTGTATCGTGGTGATGTGGTGCCCAAAGATGTCAATGTCGCTATTGCCGCCATCAAAACCAAACGTACCATCCAGTTTGTGGACTGGTGCCCGACTGGCTTCAAGGTGGGCATCAACTATCAGCCTCCAACTGTGGTTCCTGGAGGAGACTTGGCCAAGGTGCAGAGGGCTGTGTGCATGCTGAGCAACACCACGGCCATCGCTGAGGCCTGGGCCCGTCTCGACCACAAGTTTGACCTCATGTATGCCAAGAGAGCCTTTGTCCACTGGTATGTTGGAGAGGGAATGGAGGAGGGAGAGTTCTCAGAGGCCAGAGAAGATATGGCTGCCCTGGAGAAGGATTATGAAGAAGTTGGGATCGACTCTTTTGAAGAAGACGAAGAAGGGGAGGAATATTAGACAGGCTTAGTTCTCATTTGCAAATTGTTTTCAGGGACTTAACGGTCAATTTATTTAACAAATCATGCTAAAATAATAGATCGTATTTTGCATTTTGGTTTCAATTCTAAAAAAAGTTGTTTTTCTTTTTCTTTTTAAATGAAATTATTAGTGCCTATCTGAAGTTGTTTCTTGTGCCTTCAGAATCATTATGTTTTTGACATCTTTTGTGACCATTTCTAACAGTTTATTGATTAGTTTTATCAATATGATAAAATATTGTGCAAGAACTCGATTTTTCTAAGTTGAAAAACTGTGTTGTTGCTCAATAAAACTTTCTCCTAAATGCTGCCTTTTTTGTCTTTGTAAGAATTAATCTATGGTTATTTAGGATTTTTACTGAGACCCTCTTTATGGCATAATAATTTGCACGAACTTGGATTCATAACAAAACTCAGTTGATCTCATAGCTCAGTAAATATAATCTAGTCCAGCCTGGCTTGTGAAGCGGTTACAAAAGGGAAAGGGAAAAAAAATTAAGGGCTGCAAATGTCATTAGTCAAATTGTCTTTTACATTGTAAAGTTTTTAAGATTTAGCATTGTCTTTTTTGCGTCTCTCTCTCAAAAGCTTTTACCTTCCCATGTTGGAGATCCTATCGGTAATTCAAATGTGATGCAATCATTTAAAACATTCAGATGAACATACTTTATCAAAATGACCTATTCTAATGTAGAAAATGTAATTTTACTTTCTAACATTTAAGATTTAGGACAGTACTGTGTCTCTTACAAATACAACTGCCCATTTTGGACATCATATATGGTTAGAATTCAAAGGTGGCGCAAAATTTTGAACCAAAATTATTGTTTCACCACAAGCTACCCTCTCCGAACTGTATAATGGCTCTGTGATCAGGAGAGCCACGCTGATCACAGAGGACCCCTCTCACCCCCTCCACCACTCCTTCCAGTTACTGCCATCAGGCAGACGCTACAAAGTCCCTCTGGCCCAGAAAAACATCTACAAAAAAATCCTTCATTCCCTCTGAAATAACCATTCTGAACAAAATCAAATAGACCCCCCTTTTTGGAAACTGTTGTTTTTAAGTCCTCTTTTAATGTACTTCACTTTCTGTTTTAAATGTAAGTTGTGTTTATTGTTCGAGCCTTGTCAAAGGAGAATTTCTGTCTCTGTTGGGACAGACAATAAAGTCTATCTATCTATATGAAACGCATTCAGATAAGCATTGGCTTACTTTTGTAAAATTACTTATTATTGAACATATGTCGTCCTATTTGGATGTGAGAGGTTGTGGGGAGAGTTCAAACAAATCACAACAACCTGGGTGAAAATATATTATTCCAGTGGTTCAGACTTTTTCATACCCTCCCTTTGAAGAAGGAAAACGCTCGTATCAAAAAAACATCCAAGATTGTGTACATTCATTTCCCCAAATGAGTGCAAACACGGGACTCAATAGCATTTATTTACCCTTTCTATGTCAACTGATAATATGTCTATTTAAAAGACTTTATATTCCTCTATTGGTCTATTTTTTTTTTCTTTAACTGTAAAAACTAACCCAAGAGCGTGCTGGTAACATTGTAATCTTCTAGGCTTATTTCTTTGAGGATTTAAGGAGAAGTTATTTGTCCAAAGGTCACAATTTCAAATACTAACAAAATAAAACCATATTGAAGTACAAAGGAAGGTGTAGCAGCCTTCTTTCAACCATAGTTAGTAGGCTAAGACCAGATGAGATAAGCGGCCTATACTGCACATTTTACAAGCCTATGATTTTTGCAGTCTCTTGCCTAGATACAGTGGGTAGCTCCATTTCACCACTGACTCGACTGTTCTCATTTTCACTGCTGTAGGCCTAATTATACACAAGCTCGGCTATGACGTAACTGCAGACTCACTGCCCCCGCTCTGTGTGCCATTTACCTTAGTCTATACCACACTCCTGAAACCCCAAATAAGACTGTTGTTGGTCGATAATCTAGACTTATCAGACACACGAATAACTTTGTTCAAACTTCAGAACAGCTTTACAAGGGTTTCTTTGTACTCCTGTTTTCATTTATGTGGTTAACCCTAAACTAAACTGTATGGCCTACACACCATGTGTAGGGCATGCAACACATGCTTTCAGTATGTTGATTTCAAGAGGCTCCACACGTAATGCCTACGACTTGATGGCGCCCCCTGGTGGATGTTGTTGAGTTTGCAGAAGCTGGGCTTGCATTTTCGAGGTCGGAAGGACTCGAGGGTTGTGTAACTGAAGTGTACACAGCGAACGAGTCTGAGTTTTAAACTGAAAAGTAGGCAAAATGGCAACACGCTGGGGAATATGCAGTGCGGGTAAAATAAGTCATGACTTCTTGGTTGCCTTGCGCACACTGACTCCAGGAGACCACGAGGTAATAGTCAACGTTTTGAAGCGCTTTGTGTAACGTTGGATTTTGTGAAACATGTTCGTGTATGAATAAAGTCCATGTCCCACTCACGTGGAATCAGACATAGCCAAGGTTGCGCACAAAGTCCGATCCACCGAGTTGCTCTTGTGCAAAGTCTATATTATATTTGCTTTGAGTGAAATAACCAGTTCCTAAATGTGCATTGTGTAAATCACTGCTGCGTTACTTCTGTCCTCAGGTAGTGGCTGTTGCAGCGAGGAACTTGCAGCATGCTGAAGAATTCGCCAAAAAGCACAACATCCCTCGAGCATATGGGAGTTATGATGAGTTGGCTAAAGACCAAGGCATTGGTGGGTTCCTCTGTCAGTAGGAAAGAAAGACTATAATTGAATATTTGGCTTTAAGCGTTTACAGTTACAGAATCTCTAATAATATTGAACTCTTGGATTATTCATCACAGACTGTTCTCTTCTTTCAACAAGTATTTGATTATAAACAATAATTTTCCCCTTAAATTCTAGATGTGGTTTACATTGGCACTGTCCATCCATACCACCTGACCACTGGCAAATTCTTTATGAAGGCCAAAAAGAATGTACTGATTGAGAAGCCACTTGCCATGAATTCAAGGGAGGTACAGGAACTCATCTCTGCAGCCCAAGACAACAGTGTCTTTCTCATGGAGGTAGAAAAATTATATATGTATTTTTTTTTAGGCTCTCACTTTACACTGTCCATATTTACAAAATACTACTGTGTTTCCTCTCAGGCCGTTTGGACACGTTTCTTCCCAGTGTCCCTTGAAATAAAGAGAGTGTTGGGCCAGGGTGAAGTGGGTGATGTTCAGATGGTGAGGGTTGATCTTGGGGCTCCACTAACACACATCCCGCGCATGGCTGAGAAGGAGTTAGGAGGAGGGGCGCTCCTGGACCTGGGCATCTACTGTCTGCAGTTTGTCTTCATGGTTTTTAACGGCGAGAGGCCCGAGTCCATCCAAGCCACGGGACACTGCATAGATACAGGTGATAAGTTTGTAATCATAATGTTTCATGGAATATGAGCTATCTATATAGTTACTCTTAACAAATAGAATCTCTTATTTAAAGTGTCCTCTATAAAATACAATACAATTCACTTGTTTATACATCTTTTGTCCAGGTGTTGATGGGACAGCAGTTCTGGTCCTTAAGTTCTCAGGAAACAGACTGGCTGTTTGTACTTGTTCTATCACCATGATGCTCACCTGTGATGCTGTCATCACTGGGACCAAAGGCACCATAAAGGTAAGCAGTAGAGTAAGACATACACAAAGAAAAGTTGAAACCTCTCCATTCAGAAGCAAATAACACAGATTTGTTGACAAGCAAATCTAAATTATTTATCTCCTTCATCATAATGAGTATGAGTTTAACTCTTTGTGCATGCCAGTTACCCAACCACATGTGGTGCCCCACATCTTTGGAGGTGAATGGGAAGGAGATGCAGTTCCCCCTGCCGGAGGCGGCCATGCCACTAAACTTCACCAACAGCACAGGTCTAAGATATGAAGCAGAGGAGGTCCGCCAGTGTCTGCTGAAAGGTACAAAATGCTGATATGCATTATGATAATCTCTTGTTAGGTCAAGTGTGATCTTGAGTGATTAAACTGTCTACTCAATATATGCATGCATATAACTCAATGCATTTTCTATTGTTGTGGTCTCTTGTCTTGTCATTACTTTTCCCTCTAGGACTGAAGGAGAGTCCAGGGATGCCATGGGCTCACTCCAGCCTGATAGCAGACGTTATAGATGAGGCCAGAAGACAACTGGGAGTGACATATGACCAGGACAACATCCAGTGATGTCTCCTTAGTGACAGTTAGAGAACAGACATGTGTCTCAACATGCAGAAGGACCAAATCATATTTCCAGTAATTAGTGTGTGTGTGTGTGTGTGTGTGTGTGTGCGTGTGTGCGTGTGTACGTATGTGCGTGTGTGCGCGTGCACGTGCGCGTGTCAGTGGGTAATACAGAAACATAATGAACGCTGTGTCCAAAAACAAGTCGTAGTCATAGATCACGAGACCAAACCACAGCATCTACTGTGTGGCACATCAAAATGTTTCTTAAAAAATAAATACTTATTGACATTGTTATAGTAGTCTATTTGATTCCTGTTTAATGTACAATTATTTTAGTTTTGGAAATAAAGGGAAGTGAATATCAAAGTGCTACATTTTTACATTTATTTGTTTGTCTTAGGACATATTGCATTTCTGAAATCAAGTTCGGATTAATCTTGAAGGAGTTTTTGTGCAGACATTCCCAATAACATGCACATGCACAAATTCTCAATAAAAATCACATTTTGACCAAATTTTGATATGAATCATTACTAGTCACCAACTTTTAAAGTTTGGCTTTGTTTTCTTTAGGGATGGACCAATAAGAGTCCCTGCTGAATCCAAGAATAGATTTGTAAGTTTACTAATATTTATACAAAATGTATATAAAAAAAGAGAGATGAATATTAAGACATGTTCAACCTCTGAATTAATTGTCATATAGTGCTTAGTTGTGCGACTGTGTCATTATAAATACTTAACAATAAAAATGTTGATTCATTCATATAAATATAGGCTTAGCTTCATAAATTCAATTTAAATTCAAATTTGGTCATAAAGGATACAATTAAGGAGTAATATGTCTGATGGCCCCTCTCCTAAATCTGCAATGTACAACTCACAAAATCAGTAACAAATGTAGTGAATAAAAAATGCAATATTTATCTCCCAAAAACATTTCAGTAGAAGTAAAGAGAATAATCAACTGAAATATTTAATTGAATCATTAAAGAAAATGTTGTAATTGACAGCACTGGAGTTGGAAAATCATGTAGTTCAAAATAAAGACTTACTTTGATGTTCGGTGTCCATTAAACAAGCATCAGCGCCATCTGCTGTTCACAGAGGGAAGTGCAAAAGCTTACAGCACCTGGTATTCCCAGGCGGTCTCCCATCCAAGTACTAACCAGGCCCGACCCTGCTTAGCTTCCGAGATCGGACGAGATCGGGCGTGTTCAGGGTGGTATGGCCGTAAGCGAAGGTGCAGGTCTCAAACGGAGTATTTAAATATGCTTTAAGACCACGCTCTCGCATTGAAATGTAAAAACTATTTAATAAAAAAATATGAGGAAAAAATAAGATTAAAAACATTATCCTCATGTTGACGTTAAACAATTTAAGATTACGTATTTTCAATTGCTATACATCTAAAAACAAGTAAACCACGCATAAATAGTCAGCTAAAACTTAAACACAGTATATGGTACAGTATGACATTTGCTGAAATGCGTTTGGCACATAGACTGTAAACATTACATACGCTGCATATCATTATTATAGACTGTGACTGGTTGCTCAGCAACTGCACAGACGCTTTTTTTTTACAGTTCCGGAAGTGCGTGGCTCAGAGGAAATATGGCGCACCGAAGAACAGAGCAGATACCGATAGTATTTATTTTATCAATCTATTCATTTTCCTCATTATTTTTAACTCTTCTGTTGTCTTTTTCTATATTTGAAACAGTTATCAGTGAAAATGCGTTCAGTGCCAGTCACACAGCCAGTATATCCATCGCTGCTGCTCGAGATTTACGGTAAATTTGTGAAGCGTAAAGTTACTGTTTGCTAGCTGCTGTATGCTAACGCAGGAGTGGTTAGAGTGATGGAAAGGACTACGTTTTGTTCAGTGTTAAAGGTTATGCTTATTTGCATCCTAAACAACTATAGTCTGAAGCCATACTTCATCATTTTGAAGCAGGTTTTCTATCCTGCGTACACTAGACTAGACGACTCGTGTTGTGCAGTGAGTGCAAAGTGAAGGTGTATGAAACGTTACCTTACTCAATGAAAATTGTTGCCAATTTAGGGACTTTTTGTGTCTGTGCAGCCTTACAGTCTTTGTTAACCTATTTTCTTTTTATATTTGAAAAACACATGTCTTGAAGAGGATATCGGCAAATAAATACTTATTAATAACATCCATTTGATAAAATCTTTAAATGTCCTTTATCCGCCCATCTGAGACTATAACGTTGCTGACTGCAGCGTTTTAATCTGAGATTACTCTTGCCGTTTTGGGATCGTTTTTCTGTCACGTGTGCCAGAACTCACCTTCACTGATGAGCCCTGTAGGCGAGGTAGAGAGCTGTACTGTTATATGACTACATTTAAATGAAGCCTATCGAAGAAGTCTTGTATATCAGAGCCTTGCTGTTTCTGTTTATATTTACCGCCCAATGCAATTTCCAAATCACTGTTTTTTGTTGTGAATTTTGGCATATTGTCATATATGCAGTACTCGAAAGCGTATCAACAATATCAATTATCTTGTTGTTCCTAACAATTTTGTAATATGTGGCGTATTTGGGTTAATGGTGTATCACTTAATGTAGGCCTATTATTAAATACATTAGATTGAAGTGATGGGCCACACTTCAAACTACTCATGATGTGATATTTTGGGGCACATTATTAGATTATTATTATAATGACAAAGATTATGAGATTTGTTTGTCCAAAATGGTATCAGTTTGTTATGGCGATAGTCTCTCCTCTTTGACCTCTATTTTCATCATATGGCTCAAGTGAGTGAAGGTCAGCAGATGATACTTCACACATTTATAATTCGATTAAGGTTGCTTATTGTTGACTGTGATCAGTTTCAACTTCACCTTATTATTATTTATTATTATCCAGAAATAAGTTAGATTTTCAGCAGGCATCAAGACACGACCGACATAAAAGCAAACATCGGAAATACTGAAAATCTACTGAAAACAAAGATACTTCAACCACCCTGGTCCAGAAGATGAAACTGTTCAGACACAGCACAAAAAGTGCATTGTAGTACATATCGGTAGTTATAATGAATCAATAAATAATCACAAATACAATCTAAAAATTCAAATCTAAAAAATCTGTGTTACCAACATACTCTTAAAACACACAAATTCAGTTTTTCAATCGCGACAGGGTTAGAAGAATGTCTGGCACGTCTTGTTTTGGTTCCAGGCATTCTGTAACGACGGCCAGAAGGAAGGAGATCAAACTCAATAAATGGAGCGTGAGCCTGTGGGGAAGAAGTGGAAGAGGATAAGACACCATTAACCCTGAAACACTGTGACCTGCTGGACAGAAAAGCCACCATGAAGCTAACACGATTTGAATTCAAGTTAAAATGAGAAAGGAGTTTTATCAGAAATTAAGTAAGGCTGAAAAGTATTAACAGCTGATGAGAAGTTAATGAACAGTAGCCTAGCAGGAGTTTTTTTTAAGGCTTCTAGATGTTGAACTCAAACATTTAGCAGAGTTAGTGATGCATCTTCAACACATCTGCTCGCCCTGTAGGCAAACTGAAGTGGGTTTAACTGGCCTTCCAGCCGCTTTAGTATGTCCTGCTTTACACGTTTCTCTAAGGGTCTCATCATCAGAGAGATGAGAGCTACTGCTCTAAAGTCATTCAAGGTTTTGGGATTACTCCACTTAGCCACAGGGGCGGTGGTGGCATGTTTTTCACACTTTAGGAACTCTCTGCACTTGAAGAGAAAGTGTAAAGATAACTTGAAAAATCCCACTAAGTTTTATACCATCCCCAAAAGATTTCAGGTTAGTCTCATAGAATTTAGATTCCAATTTTTCTTGATGTTTTATTTTTGTCTGTGCAATTTCCACAACATCTGTCAGTTCATCTATGTTGTCAGATGCGGTACAGTTAAAGTACCCTAAAGGGCCAGCGTGCTATCTTCACTCCACAGCTAGACTTCATGTGCCTGAACCTTGTCCCAGGATGCGGGGAGCACATGTTGACCATGTTGTGGTCAGAGGATCAAAGAGGAGGGCCAGCGACAGATTTATAGGCACATTTCCTTCACTAAACAAAGACTTTACCGCTGCTCTTTTTTCCCCTCCTCCTCAGGTACCTTCTATATGACGTGAACCCCCCTGAGGGTTTCAATCTGCGGAGGGATGTCTATATCCGCATGGCCTCCTTGGTGAAGACTCTGAGGAAGGATGGGGATGACTGGGTGTTGGTGCTCCCCCCATGGGGTCGCCTGTACCACTGGCAGAGCCCGAACATCCACCAGATCCGCATCCCATGGGGAGAGTTCTTCAGCCTCACTAGCCTGCAGGCCAACGTCCCTGTCATTGAGTACGAGGAGTTTATTGCAGGTGAGCTTTTTATTTTGGTGACTCCAACAAGAGTTCAATTTATTGTATTTTCAGTTCACTAATTACAATTACCACTCTTTTATCAGCTGTTCAAACAGATTTTCTCCTTGGCTCAGCTTAATTGTAATGAAGCTAAACATTCAGCTGTGTGTGTGTGTTTTTCTCCTGGTGTTTAGAGAATGGAGGCCCATTCATAGACCAGGTTCTGGTTCTGCAAAACTACGCTGAGGGATGGACTGATGGGAAATGGGAGGAAAAAGTAGATGAGCGGCCATGCATTGAGAAGATGATGTACTCCAAAGATAAACAAGGATTCTACAGGTAATGCTGCTAATAAACAAGAGCAATTTAAACCTAAAGCGCAAACATATAAACTCTGTAGACTTCATTTATACCTTTGACTAAACAATATCTGTCATTAGACTGATGCTTTCTGAATGAAGCGGTGACCAAACATTCTCAGTTTATTGCTCCAACAAGAGATTGATTAAGAAGTAGTGTCAGAAGACGGCTTGTCACTAGAAATGAGAAACTGAAGGTTAGATAAAGTAGACCTACTTCAGACAGTGATTGATTGTATTTACAGTATTTCTGTTTTGGTGGTATCCATCTCTACTTCTATCTGTGTACATCTCTCACCAGTCTATAATTGATCTTGTTTGTTTGTTTGTTTTTCCCAGGGGCTGGTTTTGGGGCTTCGAGGAGACAAGAGCTCGAAATGTAACATGTATATCAGCCCAAGGCCATGCTTCTATCATGGCGCCTGTACTTCAGAAAAACATCACAGTGACGTGAGTCAGAGCGACAACTTGGTGTGAAAATGTACCCACTACTGACATTCATACATACGCTGACTGATGTGAAGATCTGTAAAGCACTTACCGCTGCTAAAATGTGTTTGTTGCAGATAACATGATTGAAGGGTAATCAAGCTTTTATTGAGCTTGAGTTTATTCTGAATGTTGATCCTGCACTCTTGCTGCCTTTTTTCCTTTGCAG